ATATTAATTATATTAATTATTATATTATTATTAATGTAATGGACATAATTATATTAATACTATATAATATAATTATAATATAATATTATGCACTGAAATAATTATATTAGAATTATTTGTATAATTGTGATATTATTTGTTAAAATATTACAATTATGTTGTATTATATCATATTATTGTATTATTATATTATCTTATATTATTAGTATATATTATATTATAAGATATGATTACGTTATAATATATTGTATATATTATTATAGAATATTAAATAAATATATTATAATTTATGACTATATTATAAATTAATTATTGTATTATTATAACTATATTATATTATAATATTTTTATTGTATATTATATTATATTACATATTATAGGATATAACTACTATATAATATATTTTAATTATATTATAATATTGAAGGGTAATTATGGAAAAAAAATAAAGAAAATAACTTGGAATGACTATTCCTCCAATGTGAGGAAAGAATGATGATTCACCTAAAATCGGTGAATGACAATTCCTTTTGAATGACTATTCATTTCTTATAAATCCAACAAAACATCAAATTTGAATTTCATTTTATTCTAGTCCTTTCCTTTCCACCCAACGAAACACATCTTAAGGGATTACTTGCTTATTAAAGTTAATAATAGAGAGTTTTTTAAGTGTGACTGGAAAAAATAAATTATTGTTAATTCTTTTAATTATAAATCTGTATTAAAAATTATTTATTTTATATATATTTTTTTAATTTAATATAATTTTAATTAGATGTAACGGGCAAAAACCGGTATTATCATAGAAAAGTCTCCCGGAAATGGCCCCTTAATTATAACCGTTTCCGTTTTCTTTGACCTGGATTTCTCTCCTTGTTTATTTATCTTATATAATAGTCGATCACCGTTAGATAAGACAAATTAAAGAAACTCCCTTTTAACCGAGTTTTTTTTAATCTTAAAAAAAAATAGAATGGAAAACTTTGAAATAGTGACGAAAGGAAAGCGACGAATCTTTGAAACGTAAATTCGTGTAATGATTTTGCCTAAAAGGCTTTAATGCGCCCCGTTATCTTATCAGCATCGAAGAAACTTCGCTGCCTTTACCGTTTTGCTCCGTTTCTACCCTTTTGACTCGGGACCATTTTTGTTCATAAAAATCAACTGTACTTCCGTTTAGATCATATCTAACGTAATTCCATAAAGCAGCAGCAAAAATACATCAAAAAATAAAATAAAATAAAATAGAAACAATGACCGCGTATTATTAAAGGACCTTGTCACGCGTTAACGCACAAAAACCACATAGTCAACCAATTGGCTTCAATTCACATCTTACGTGACCATCTTTCCCCACTCTATATATACCCCCTCTACTTTAAATCCTCTCCACTATCTCACTTTTCACGAATTCTTCACAGCCAAGCAAACAAAAAAAGGAAACAATCACGTAGAATATAGTATTCAATTCTTACCCCCTTTGAGCATTTCTGAAACTCACTGATCAGAAAAATCATATATATAATCTGGGACTGGAAATCAATCATATACCAGTGATTGATGCCGAGAAAAGGATTGAGAAGCATGTTGTTCGGGTCTAGATCTCCTTCACCCATGAGTTCTCCTTCGAGGAGTACGATTCCTCCATCGTCACCGCACCAGACATTCTGCGAGACTCTACTGGACGAGAACATCGAGACTGCTCAGTCCCTCATCGAGAAGTGGGACTCCGATGACGTCACGGCTTCTTCTCTCTTCCATGGCGACGACCGGCTAGAGGCCGGGCAGTACCTCAACGCCGTCAAGGATTTGCAGTCCACGATGCACTTGATCATTTCCAAGAGTTCCGCCTCCGTGAAGCTCGTGAGGGCGCAGGTTCTGATGGAGACGGCGATGAAGAGGCTCCAGAAAGAGTTTTACCAGATCATGTCCTCCAATCGGCAGTACTTGGATCCCGAATCGGTTTCGACTCATTCGTCGAGGACTTCGACCGTTTCGAGCTTCTCAGATTTCGAGGATGAGTTGGAGAACGAGTTCAGAGTCACGACCGAGTCGATCTCTGAGATGGAGCGGGTGTCCGCGGCGGCCATGGCGGATCTGAAGGCCATCGCAGATTGTATGATATCGGTCGGTTATGGAAAAGAGTGTGTAAAGATTTACAAGACTATAAGGAAATCGATTGTTGACGAGGGATTGTACCATCTCGGAGTTGAGAAGACGTGCCTTTCGCAGATCCAGAAAATGGATTGGGGGGTTTTGGAGTACAAGATCAAGAACTGGGTTAACGCCGTTAAAGTCGCCGTGAAGACGCTTTTCTACGGGGAGAGGATTCTCTGCGACCACGTGTTCTCGGCTTCTGAGTCCATCAGAGAATCGTGCTACTCCGAAATCACCGGAGAGGGTGCCACGTGGCTGTTTAGTTTCCCGGAATTCGTAGCCAAGTGCAAGAAATCTCCTGAGAAAATGTTCCGCACTCTGGATTTGTACGACGCGATCTCCGACCTCTGGCCGCTGATCGACTCCATCTTCTCCTTCGAGTCGACCTCCGCCGTCCGGTCTCTAGCCATGAATTCTCTCCTCAAGCTCGGCGAGGCTGTTCGGATTATCTTCGCCGACTTCGAGTCGGCGATCCAAAAGGATACTTCGAAGGCGGCGGTTCGCGGCGGTGGGGTCCACCCGCTGACGCGTTACGTCATGAACTACGTCGCGTTCCTCACCGATTACAGCGAAATTCTCGCTGACATCTTCGCCGACTGGCCGTTGTCAATTCAATCCCCGCTGCCGGAATCGTACTTCGGAAGCTTGGAATCTGCCGACGTTTCCTCATCGTCAATCTCCGTACGGTTCGTGTGGCTCGTCCTGGTCCTCCTCTGCAAGCTCGACGGCAAAGCCGAGCTCTACAAGGACGTGGCTCTTTCGTATCTCTTCCTCGCGAACAACCTCCAATACGTCGTCGCAAAGGTCCGGGACTCGAACCTCCGGTTCCTCCTCGGCGACGACTGGGTGGCGAAGCACGAGGAGAAGGTGAAGAACTACGCCGCGAATTACGAGCGCGTGGGGTGGAGCAAGGTGTACTCTTCTCTGCCAGCGGATCCGACGGCCGATATTTCGTCTGAGCAAACAAAGGAGTGCTTCTTGAGACTGAATGCGTCGTTCGAAGAGGCGTACCGGAAACAGATCTCGTGGGTTGTGCCCGACGCGAAGCTCCGCGACGAGCTGAAGTATTCGGTGTCGAGGAGGCTGGTGCCGGCGTACAGGGCGTTCTACGAGAAGCACCGGGACGGGTTGGGCAGAAAATGCGGGTCGGAGTCGTTGGTGAGATATCTTCCCGAGAACATGGACAATTACTTGTCGGACCTTTTCTTTGGGGCCGGAGAAGTGGGTGTTGTTTCGTCAGCTTCTTCGTCGCCTTCCCCGTCGTCGCATTACCTTGGCAGGCGGAGAGGTTGAGACGTTACGTCGTCAGTTTTGACCGGCCACCAGATGAGTTTTAGGCACGTGTTTTTATACGGTTTTGATTGTTGTGGATAAAATTGATTCGAGCATGTGTGTAGAATCTGTCACACGTGTCATGTATAGCATTTGCATACATTTTTTTATTGGAAATATAGTGATGCGTACTTGTATTGTAATCGATATATAATACAAAATATACACGAAAAGTCTTTGGTTTTTAACTAATATTATGTTTCCAGAAGTTTCTGAATTGTGAGTGACATATGCGAAGTTTATTTTTTATATTCGTCATTAATTTTGAGTCATAATTTATAATTTTTTATAATATATTTTTTTTATAAAAAATATATATAAAATAAAAATAATTTTAAATCATAATTCTAAATACTGAACGTCTTCACACTAATTTAAAAAGTGAGATTATAAATACATGATAATTGATATATGACATGTATCATAAGAGCTGTGCTTTACAGCTTCTAGAAGCTGCGGCTCCGCACTCACAAAGAGGAACGGCTTTGCGGAACCTTGGTTTTTTCTATGTCATAACTAGCTACAGTTTCCTTTCCGGATAAGGGGGGGGAAAAAAAAACTAGCTATGACTTTTGAACAAGATCAACTCATATTATGTTTAATATATGAGCGTGTGATTCGAATTATGATGATTTACTTTCTTTTATATAAAGAAACATAGGCCTCATATATTTTATTATTGACAAATGATCAATGATTAACCTTTAGTCATAAAAAAAAAAAAAAAAAAAAAACTCCCAATTAAATAGTGAAAAAATTTTTTATTCCTAAAATTTTTTATAAAATTTATATAAAGAAACATAGGCCTCATATATTTTATTATTGACAAATGATCAATGATTAACCTTTAGTCATAAAAAAAAAAAAAAAAAAAAAAAACTCTCCAATTAAATAGTGAAAGAATTTGTTATTCCTAGAATTCTTTATAAATATTTGTTTAAAAAAAAATCCCTTTAAATAAATGGAGAAAAGACAAAAGGAATTTGGGGAGGCTAGCTGTGGTGGAATTGGTCTTTGAGAAGTGCCGCTTTCCTTTGTTAATATTAACTTCCCACATTTTCTTCTTACCCTCGGACTCTTCGAAAGGGCCGGGCATTCATAGTGGACGACAAGAAATGTGATAGTCGGCCCTTTACACACACTGGAATTTGGTTAGTTACAGCAATGTCCAAACTTGAGACTAGGCTCTAAGCTATTGGTGCACTTAATTAGGCAATTTTCGAGGTTGTTCTATTTAAGTCAAAAGTCCAAAATATCTCCATACATATACTAGCTGGAACATTGATACTTCCATCCACGCCAACTCATTCTTAGCAACAACTCTTCTGGTTTTACTGTAAAATTAAGTTTTTCATAAATCAATTTGATCTTATTTATGATTAAAAAATAACGCGTCAATATTTTTAGTTTTTCAATTGTGGGCGTTCGCCAACTTATTCTTATGGATACCACAAACCAACCTGAAAGTATTAGTTTGGATATTCCTGACCCTAAATCAAACCAAGAAGTCCCACCAATTCAACACAACCCAAACCAAAAGCATTGGTTTTTATTGAAGCTAGGATTTGGGCTTCTATATGAACATTATTTTAATGTAGGAGGTGTGGTTTTAATGGTTACACCAATTAATAGAAAATATGTGCGGAAGCGTGTACGGTGGTTTCAGGTCAGATCTTCATTTGACTCCAGCATAAAGTTTGCTATGGGATAGCCTCACGATACTCCAATTACGAACATGATGTTCATGCTCCAATTCACGTTTCTATCACGATCATTACCACATCCTTAATATTTCAAATAAGATATTTTCCTTTTCATGTCTGGTAGATTTTATTTGTCACCCTCGCGTTGACTTTTAGGCTATGCACCATTATGTGCACCTCAAAGTATAAAACTAAAATTTACCCATCAATAAATATCATTATTTTAATCGTAAAATATTAATCTAACGGGTGTAATAAATTAAATAATATATATAAAAAATACAATGATTAATGAGACTAGATTCTTATCACGTCACACCAAATATTTATATTTAGTAGTAACCATCAATATAAACATAACTATTAAAAACTTTTTCATTAATGTATATATAGCAATATAAAAAATAAAATTATATATCTCTCTTTTTAAAAAAAAAATCGCGAATTAAAAGAATCAAATCAATTCTCACAACAAACTAACAAAAAAGTATTGGTTTGGAATTTTTCCAGTGTGCTACCAAACTAATGTGCAGCCAACACAACTCAATCCATGCAAATTGGTTTGAGTAAGGATGCTTGTTCGATTTCGCGGTTTTTAAGAAATTAGCTTAGTATCTAGAGACTTGATAACATTGCTTGGATTCTCACCTTTTTCTATGGGACTTCGATGAGGCAAAGGAATTGATAATAAGAGAGAGTGAAAGAAGCAGAAATCCAATGTGAAGGCATATATTAGCATCTCCTATAAGATTGAAGTTCTGATATCCAAATAACGTTAGTATTCCCAAGCATATATTTGACAAACTATTGAGCTCAAATTAAGATTTAGCACTTGCGTATAATTTTGTGCTACTTTGTTTTGAGCATAACAAAATGAAAAGGAAAGCAAAAAACTTTCATTACAAAGATGCTAACTTTTACTGTACGATCTATTTTTTTTTACTACCGATAAGTACTGTTATTTTAACTTTTAAAATAAGTTTTCAATGACCTGATATAATATATGATTATAGTAATTTTGTTTCGAACATTGCTTTTAAATCTTAAACTAACAGTTAAAATAATAATTGCTACCAATAATTAAAAAAGATCAATTTGTACCTAGAAGTTCCCTATACAAATTTATCATCTTTTGTTTTATTTATTTTTACATTTTAATAGTTTTTTCTCAAAGTGAAAGAAAAATATGATGGATTTCCTTTTTTGGGCTACAAATATTTCAGCATCAAGGGTTATTTTTAGAAACTCAGTTGAATTAGACATTTAACTTAATTTTACTACATGTTTTTGCATAGACACCTCTTTAACTTTACGAGTTTGGCAAATTGGCCCCTTAACTTTTTTTTTTGACAATTCACCTCCTAAACATTGAAATTTATTGCATTATTAGTCTAATTAAAAATGAATTAAAAAATTTAATCGGTTTCTTCCCACATGAGTGTTTAATAAAGATGATTCTAGTCTTTTTACATCGAATTGAACCCTTTATACACGTCATGAATGAAAAATTTGTGCTCCAAAACGGTTAACTCCCAATTTCAAATAAATTTTCACTCGTGATGCATATATGAAGATTAATTCGATGCAAAGAGATATTAATTACCCTTATTAAACACTCAGGTGAAAAATACAATCTAAATTTTTAATTTTGTTTTCAATTTGACCAATATTACAATAAATTTCAAAGTTTTAAAGGGTGAATTGCTAAGAAAAAAAGTTATGAGATCAATTTATCAAACTCGTAAAATTGAAAGGGTATTCATGCAAAATAGCCTATAACTTAATTTTACCAGTCATATATTTGTTCAAATAATAACTACTGGGTAGTTTTGTAAGTTTCAAACTTGAAAACCATCATACTAATTACTAATTTTGAAAAAAAATTATACTTCAATCTCACTCTTGGAAAATTCTCACGCTACTTAATACTTTACACCACCTGTTACCAAACAATTTGTTGCGCAATGAGAATAATTGATGAGGTGGGATTAGAAAAGCCCGGAAACAAAGAATTATAAATCATCTGGGCCTCATAAGGTCTCTTCCAGGCTCATAATATTCGACTATATATAGACCCTTAAAATGCTCATACACAGGCGTTTTGGGCTTCATGTCCAGGCCTTTTCTCAACTGGAAAAGTAGAGCTTTACCTTCTTCTCTCAGAGTACAACTACGTATATTTGGCTCGGCGCAGAATTAATGGTGATAACGCAGGGTAATCTCGGCAAATATTCCGAGAAATATCTCTTAAAAGTGTATGAATCATAATTTTTACTTTTTATTTTTGATTCATAATCTTTTTAGTCAAAAAATTACACTAACAAAAGAGTTTTTATTAAGAGTAAAAGATAAAAGTTACTCTCTTAAAAGTAAATTCTCTATTTTTTCATAACTATAATTTACTGGAAAAACAGTCACGGTATAGTTTCATAATATGGAAAAATATTAGAAGACTAAATGATAATTTGTATTTCATACTTTTGGCTTCACATGATACCCAACTTGTGTATACCCGACCGGCCCCTTACATGGGACAGGTTTTCACAACTTGAAGTTTATAGTTTTACAACTAGACTAGTTGAGTATACCAGTTGTGGTCGTAGTTTTTAGTTTACTCATCACTTTGTTTATTTTCCAGCCTGGGAGTCGAAATTAATGCCATATTTTCAGAGATGACATGAGGAGTGATGGAATTGGCCCATCTCAAACGCATACATACATATATATATATATATATGCGCGCGCGCGCGCGCGTAAATATATATCCGCATAATAATAACATCTGATGAAAGCACTTTCTCCAGCTTCTTTTTGTTAATTTTTTTGTGGTTTTCAAAAGATGAAAAAGAAAAGTCCTTTCCTAGTGGCTGTGGATGGGCCTAGGAGTTGGGACACCTTAACAATATTGTATTTCCTACGCTTTTTTTTGATACTGATAGGGCTTGCGCAGCTTGGACTTTCTATACCTGAGTGTATTTTCTCCTCTTAATTTATGGAGTTAAATGAAAAGTCGTTGTAATCCGTTTTCTGTATGATGGTATGTAGTCGGTGGACATTTTGCAGGTTAATACGACGTCATTTAGAAACCTAAATATAATGGCGGTTTCGAGAGCCGTAAATAACAGTTGGGGGTGATACTTTTGGCAAGAAAAATGAATAATTCATATGAGAAGCACGCATCAGTCTGAAAAACCATTGCGGCTTTAAATTAAGAACCCTAAAAGAGTCACACACGCATTACCTCCTACGTACTCTTTCACATGGACATTGAGTTACAGGTGTAATCTTATTTTGGCGACTATAATAATTGGGATTTTTGCTACTTAAAAACTCAAGAGAATGAGAGAGAAAAAAAGAGGTGAAATTTGAAAATGATGGCTACATGAAAACAATGATAGCTAGTTTTGTAGCAGATATGTGATCTTCAGACATTCAGATATTGCTTAATTTTTCTTTCATATTAAGTACTACTTACATTAATGATGATTT